CAGACCTTTCAGATTTCAGTCCTCAGACCTACACCCTGAAGAAAAGAAAGGATCCTATGACAGCTGTCTGTCATTGATTTCCATTCAGTTTTGATAAAGGTAAAAAAAAAAAGAGAGAGAGAGAGAGACTTGAACTGAGGAGGACACTGACACTCTGTTACAGCAAATGCAATATGAGCCTTTCTTTTAACACTGATTGTTATCTGATACTTAGGAAATTAATTGATGCTCCAGTTTACTTTAGGAAATTAATGTATATTTGTAGGTGAGCAAGAGCCTATTCCTGTTTTTCTTGAAGCTCTTTGTCTGAAGAGTGGAGAGGTTTGTGATAGTGTGCAGGGGGGAGGGGAGCTCAAACAAAAGAAATGCCTTTTGTTACTCTAATGTTCAGGGAAATGCAGAAAACAAGCCACAAAACAGCTCATTCAAGCTGACATCGAATCAAATTTGCATTTTAGCTAACAACTTCGGCTTGTTTCAAAGAGTTTTGCACCATGTAGGTAAGGGCAAGAAAGTCAGAGCACAAGGACAAAAATACAGTGTCAGGAATGCTCACATCACATTTTCTCTTTAAATTTACTTTAAATGCCTCGACAGAGACAGCAAAAATGTTTTCAGGAGTTTGTTACATCTTTTAATGTTAGAGGCTAAAGTCACATTCTTCAGTGAAGTTTGAGAGTGAGTTGATTTCTCCAGATCTCATCTGTTTTTTTGTTTTTTTTTCCAAACTGAGGGCTCTCTGTAATTCATCTGAAACCACAGGAAACTGATTACTTAGAGAGGAAAAGCTGCAAATCAGAACTCACCCAACAGTACTGGAGTTTAAAAACAACATTAAGACAATTAAAGACTATATTAAGCCTATTAAAATCAATTATTGCTATCTCAGCTGATGTGCTTTTTTCTAAACCTAACATAAATATGCATTTTTTTAATTACAGGCATTTTACACTAGCACACAACCTTAAAACCCATAGGTACACTGAGCATGCAGGTGCCAGTCTGAACATGAAGCAGGGTGTTGGTAGCTCAGTTGTACAAAATACTATGATGGAACAAAGTAAGGGTGAAAATTAGGAGCAATTTCCTTAGCTGCGCAACAGCTTATATTCTACACTACAAGGTTGTCAACACCAGTAATTGTTAACTATGACAGATAAATCATGGGTGGTCAAGACTAATGCCTTTGTTTTTCTGTCACGTGATATGACTATGACAAATTATTGAATGGCACCTTAGAGTAGTTGGGACACAATCAAATAATTAGACCCAAAGTTCTCTGCATCATTTACAAAAGTCTGTGTCTGCCCATCCTGGGATTTTCAGACTACAATAGAGTCAACACTTCTCTTCAAAGTCTCCACTGGCATCCTAAAGTGGTGGAATAATGTGACTGCTGGATCTAAGCATATTAGCTAAGATATAGCCTATGTGTGAATGACAGGAAGCCATCACTTTGACAGACTGTATGAAGCAACGTTACATATCGACTGTGGTAGAGCGGGTTGTCCACTAATCGCAAGGTTGGTGGTACGATCCCCCGCCCCCCCACCTTGGGCAAGGCACTGAACCCAAAAGTGGCTCTGTCATTGGTGTATGAATGTGATGTACTCTCAAAAATGTATGTTGCTTTGGATAAAAGCGTCTGCTAAGTGAAACTGTTGAACTGTAAATATCCTATTTATTGGATTGTACCATTGTATATGTTGGATAGGCGTACTGGCAGGATATCCTTTATGTTGCGGGTCACAGGGTGGCCCCCAGGGGCCCCGACTACCTGGTTTGAGTACCTCTTAACTTTCACTGAATAAGGTTAATCCATTTTAACCACTACTATGTCAACAGAGCCTACATGTGATTCTTTTGGTACAGAGCATAGACTGTACAAAAGATGGATGTAGCAACTGGCCCTCAAAAAGGAAGCCAACCCAGAAGTGTCAGAAACCTGCAATATCCTGACGTCTGCTCGCTGCTGGCTCCAAAAAGCCCTGGCTCCCATAGACTTGAATTGGAAAAGAAGTGATCACAGATCACGAAATACCGCATTCCTACAGCTCAGGATTTTTTTCTTATTAGTTTTCATAGACAAATCCAGAGATCAAGTGGCCAATCTGAAAATAAATCAATACTGAATTTTTAAAAAATCGTCAACATTTTGCGGGGCAAGGGGCGTGGCTGGCTTGATTGACAGTCGGCAGCGACCATACAGATAAAGTGAGCAGAAGGCGGTAAATGTGGGCGGGCAGAGAGGGCCTGCCTCTCAATCTGTCTGACCAATCGCTGCTCCTGTGGCTCCGCCCCCTCCGACGATTTTGCGTCACTGGCTCCAAAAATCCAAGATGTCAACCAGGAAGTAGCAAAACCCTGGCTTCATTTTCTCAGTGCAGAAACCGACGGGTGACGTCACAGTAGCTACGTCCATCTTTTATACAGTCTATGGTTCAGAGGAGACATTAAGGTTATTATAAAAAAATAAAAACAAACAAACAAACAAACAAAAAAAACACTTTTTTTTTTTTTTTCCTTTGAACTGAATAAATGCCAAGCAAACGGTGTTCTGTGTTGGGCCACCTTTCTGTAAGGACCTTTAAAAACGTGTCTGTTAACTAGTGTAAAGGCAAATAAAATACTACAGTGAGAATTAAAGTTTTGTGTCTGTTTGAAGAATGTCTTTAATATTCTCTGATGAAGCAGGTTTAGGTCAGTTTTCTCTTCCATATTCTCCAACTGTAAACTGTTGGTGAACAGTAAAGAACTCTAATACTCAAATCTGCATGTCGAGACATATCCAATTACAACACCTTGGCCAGGTCCTTCCTATAAGCTTCGCCTTTGACACAGTGACATTTGGTAGCAGACTCTTATGGTATTAGTGTAAAGTGGGAGACGGTGGGACTGCCTTTGATCACACCAGCAGGTTACACATGTCCTCATATTTCTACCTGCTTCCCAACCTGCCTGGCTTGACAGTTTCACCGCTGTTTCTGTGAATCCTCCTGAGCCCAGCGGCACGTCTCTGTCTTCTCTCTGCCTGTATGCATTCACATGAGCCATTTCTCTATGTTGCGTTTGAATGTGAAAAGCTTCTTATATGTGACTTAGTGCAGCCAGGGTCATTAGCATTCACATGGGGGGCAGGGCCCCTGGGGGAGTGTGGGTGAGCACTGCTTCTGTGAGAGTGAACAAGTGGTATTAAGTAGGGTGGAGCTGTGGAGAGGGTGGGCTGGCTTGGTGATCAGGACAAGTCTGTCCACTGCAGTGTGAGATTAGAATCAGGTCGAGTGGTGGCTGCTGGGTGTACAGAGAGAGTCAGGTTGGGCAGTAGAGTTTAGGGTGTGGCACGCTGGGGAAACACTGGATGGTTCTCACTATGGTCCCCTAGCCAAACCACTGGAGGGGATGAAGGAAGAGAATTCCCTGGATGGTAAGATATCTCTGATCTCTTGCAAGGTTTAAAACTGGTTACCACAGCTCTAGGATTTGAGTGAAATCGTGCTGATAGTGTGTCATATGTCAGAAAGTTTGAAAAGTAGATGTACTGGAAGATGGATTTCAATAGAGCAGTTGTTCATGTCAAAAAGACTTCTAGAACATTGTGTTTATAAGGGATGGAAGACAGAAACACAATAACTTGTTGAAGCACTCAAAATTAACTTAATTGACGTCCCCAATCCAAGATTAAATCAACAGCTTTTGGTACTTGACAGGTTTCCGTGTGATGTGCTACAGTGCCACAATACCAAAAAAGATTTGGGGTTCAATTCCCAGCCTTTGTGGCAATAAGATGCAGAGATTTGTTATTGCAGCCTTGTTTTTTTGCATGTTGAAGAACCTGAGAGTCAGTAAATCTGAGGCCTGCAGTTGTCTGTTATTGTCATTATTGAATGAGCCATCAGTTATTTCAGTTCCTCACAAAAGATTTTCTAACAGTGATATAAAACATATGATTTATTCAAATTTTCCAACTTTATTGAAACATTTATAGGTAAGAAGTGCACATAAAGTTTGGGGATAGAATGTGATGCTGTGCAACAGAAGTCCTGACGTGAACTGAACCAGGGGCTGTGTAGCTTAGGCCAGTAGATCACCAGAGTGCTGAGTTAATTTCCTGACTCTCATAAATGATTGATCGCATTATCTTCACAGTCTTGCAAATCAGTTACACTCCACTCAGTGTGTTACAATCATTACATTAGAACCTAAATCCATGAAACATGAGTGTAGAAGGGGGATACAACAACCTGAAGGTGTAAGCAAATATTCTTTACATTAGTGGGCAGCTGGCAGGATTGTTTGTTGGGGGAATCAAGCATTGTGGGCTGGAAACACCTGACTTTCTTCTTTGTCTTTAAATACAGTATTAGTCCAGTACGGAGAGATGTGTTGGAACAAGAAATAGCTCCTAAAAGAGGATCCACCATCACATTTCTCGTCACCATCTTGGCCCTCACTCTCTTTGGCTGTAAACTGTGCTCAGTTTTTAACCAAGCAAACTGTGACACTTTAGCTTTAACCTTCTTTCAGTATTCCACTAAGTGCTTGAGTTAGTTAATGTCTGTGTGTTTTGTCAGCTTGAACCTGTGTTTATGCTTGGACATGCTCTTTGGTCCTCCTCAGAAGTGCCAGAGGCACGGTTGAAGGAGAGGCTAATTTGGGTGAGGGCTGGGAGGGGGGGTGGGGGGCCGTATTGTTGAACGCTAGCGAAAATAGGACTATCAGTTCCACTCAGATAACCCCTAGCTGTCATTGGACCTCAAGCCAAGCAGTGACCCCAGGGGCTTGAACTCTGCTGGTCATGTGACCAAGCAGTAAAGTGACCAGTGGTGTTGCTGGGCTCCGGCTGTGGTCAGAGAGGGGCAGGCTGTCGAGGAAAGAGGTTGCTGGGAGTGGGAACAGAGAGAAAGGGCAGAGAGAGAAAGAAAGGAGAGTCATGAGGCAACCAGGCCCAGTGGCTTTTCTTTAGCTGAGGCCATTCTTGAATGGGGTCCAGGCAGACTGGAAGAAGCATGAAATGGATACATGGGAAGGTAGGGAAGGAGGGCTAACTGGAAGGGTTATTGCTTTCTTGTATTTGGCCACAGTTTATATGAATGGTAGCAGATATCTGTGTGTGATTAGGAAATGTTTTTACAGCTTTCTGGTAACTTTATATTATCTTGTTTTTGCCAGTTGTTTGGTTGAGAAGGCAGATTTCTGTTTCATATTAATTTGAATGGTATGTTGTTCATGATTCCAATGTAGCTTCTTGGCAAAACCATTTTTGCAGTAGGACATTTGGCAAAACATTGCATTACCTTGAGAGTGGTAATGAACACAATGAAAAAAAATTACCAAAAACCCAGTCCAGTCCAGGTATATGTGGAACTATGTTAGTTTGTGTAAATGAATGCTAGGTTGTGTTTAGATTTGACTTCAGTTGACAGGATTAGCCCTTTATGTTGGGAGTAGTTAATGATTTTTAGGCCAGGCTAATGAGCAGAGAGGAATTCCAGCTTTTCACAGTAATCGATGCCTTCAAGTGCTTTGTTTATATGTGTGTTATGACGTATCTCGGCGCGGTGGTGAATTGCACAGCACGCCTCCATATGTATTGATCTTTGGTATGTGGCTATGGGTTTGTCCACACTCAGCAGTGTTGATACGATGGAGTCACTCTCATCACTATCCCGGATCTGAGAGTGCTTTCACATATTGTTAATTCTTTCTTTCTTAGTTCTGAAAAACAGTGCTTTTTCAGATGTGGGCGATCTCTCCTTGAACTTTATTTATGACGCTCTTCCCAAATAGCTTTTTACTTTCTTTCTCTTTTGTTGCTATGTTTCGCTGTTTACGTAAAATTCTCTTAAGTGCTGGAATAAGAACAACATTTTAAAAAATAACCTTCGTTTTGACAATTTAAACACTACAATCCCACCCACAAAAAAAAAAAAAGACTATTTGGAATGTGATCCTTTCTCTCTCTTAAGATATGCCCCACATGGCAAAGCAAAGTGAATCCTGAGCCCCACGATAGCGTTTATCTTGCAGTGTTTATTGGTTGTACAATTTTGTAACGCAATTTGCTAAAAAAAAACAACAAAAACAATAATAAAAATAAATATGCATGGGATAGAGTTTAGAGACACTAGATGAATGCAATCTATGGTACTGTGTCCTTCATTTGATATTTTCTTTTAAGGACTAGCTTGTGGAAGAACCATGTTACTGTATTTGTCCCCTCCCCCCTCATGTTAATCCCTCAGCCTTGTTGGTTTGTGCTCCAGCTGAGGGAGGGTTAACTGCACACTATTACTGCTGTACCTCAACAGGAACACCTTCTGTCTTCTTTTTGTTCTATTTGTTCGATGTGTGAGAAGAGATATGTTTAGACAAAACTAAGCATAAGAGAGAGAGAGGGCGAGAGAGATAAAGGAAGCACGATAGGTTGTTTTGTAGATGTAGGTGCAGGGGACAGAGGCTGTGTGAAGATCAATAGTAACAGTGGGGGGAGGTCAGGGACTCCAGTGACTCTGTAATGCTTGCCTATAAATAGCCAATGACAGAGGCTGCCCATTCCAGCCACGCATGCTGCCTTTTCCTTTAATTTCGCTGAAACATATCCATCTCACTGGCCATGTCAAACCAAACCAGCGGGTCCGTCATGTTGCAGATCTTTGTCTTTCAAGGGTGTGTTATTTCAACTGCCCCCGCACCCTTCCCCCAGGACAAACAAGCACACACACACACACACACACACGCACTCTCACACAGGACTGAACTTATCTGATGCACTGTGAATGCAGTCTTCATGCTTATTTTTTACAAACAGAGATGTTTGGTGTGCATACGACTGTTGGCCGAAACAAACTGAACTCCACATTTTTAATAGAGAATATTTTACATCATTGTAGACCCTCATGCATGTTTGATATCAGTGGAAGACTCAACATTTATTAACAGGGCTTTTACATGAGTGTGTGTCACAAAGCATAAGCTGCAAAACTTCGCACATGGTTCCTATCAGTGTGCGCAGGCCTGACATTAAAAAAAAGGAGCTCAAGGCCCAAACAAGTTTCTGCTGTCTTTTCAAGCAGAGGTTTCATGTTCTGCAAAGGACATGAAAAAGACACAAGGCACAGGCTTAAACAGTAAAACTGAGTTAACTAGTTTGCTAACACAAATCAACATGCCGCACAAATTTGGTTCTAAATGGGTAAAAAATTACACGTTGTTTGCAGATGCTACAATTTCAAACTTTTGTTAGACACCGTTTATTTAAATTTTTGCTTACATTTATTGTTTATATAAATAGGTTTAGTGTCTACTCAAAACTTAATATTGTGCCAGCATTACACAGCCTCATAACTAACATGCCGTCCGACTTCCGGGATTTATTTCTTTAAAATGAGTAAAGCATATGCACCAGAATTCTCCACATCCATACATAAGTTGTTATTTAGAATCTACACTGGCTAAATAAACATTTCAATTAACTTTTCAGATGCAAACATAGGTGAGACAGTGAGCCATGCTCCTACAGTTGAAGGCCTTTCCCACATTATTTTACAAAGTAGCATCACATGTGGCTGACATTAGCATAACATTAATACGGAGCCTATCTTTGGTCTCTTATTACTCAATGCTAATGATTCAGCCTCTAAGCCTGGGTGTATATTATCAGGACAGCAAAGTCAACAGGTCGCCATTGTCTCGTCGATGAGCCCAATCTGCAACTGCATGCACATAACTTTAAAGATTAGCATCACAGTGTGAGCTGCCAGGAATGCAGGCTCAGTCCCAGAGGGTCTTCCGAGGTGGGGGGGTAGATTCTCTGTCTAACCCCCAGGTATAAAAGAGAAGTTATTTTCAGAGGACAAGAAAGAGATATGAGGAAGAGTAAAAGAGGACAAGGAAGGCAGAGAGAGAGAGAGAGAGAGAGAGAGAGAAGGAAGGATTGAGGCTGCGGAAAAGTACAGCAGATTCCTGCAACCCCCGCTCCCTGTCTCTGCTGGGCTCGATTGTGATGGAAAGCCCGAGACCAAATCTGAAGAGAAAACCCCTTCAGTGGCAGGCCTTGTTCTGTCAGTCGCTCAAAAGGCTGCTTTACACTATACATCAGCCTTTGTGTGCGTGGAGTGTGGACAATGGGGAGATTTGGCCACGATACATCTCTGTTCTCAGCATGATGCAGCTCAGAGAGTGTCACAGAGATGGTGACACCAGGGAACCTTTCTATTAGAGAGCATGAAAAAGTCAGCAGCAGCATCCTGTGGGTTTTTGGAATGTTGCTAAAAAAAACAAAATAAAACAAAAAAAATATTGCTTTTAAACATACAACAAATTTTCTCCTGTGAGATAAAAAAAAAAGAGCATACTTCCACATGATAAGTGATGAACAACTCACTCAATCTGTGGCCTTACAGTGAACATTTGCTGGAACATATTGGGAGCAGCATGAAAACAAGAGAGCTGTTTGTCTTTGCCACTGAGTCAGCCTTAAAATGCTTCACTTGTATCTCCTGGTTTGTGTTAAAGTTTGGAATGAAACCCAGGCTGACCCCTGGGAAACAATGCAGCCTTTAATGAGTGGGGGTGACCCTGTGTGTGTGTGTGTTGGTGTGTTTGTGTGTGTGTGTGTGTGAAGGGGTGGCACAGAGCATCGGGGGTTCCTGCACCCAGGCTACAGAGAGAAAGAGAGGGTGGAGTTCAAGATGAAGCACTTTATGACTCTTTATCGTCACCTCTGGGGAATTTATCGTCACATCTGCTTTTACGACCTTGTGATAGATACACAACCTGAGTATTTCTGACAAAAGCAGCCCTCTTGTGAATGGGAAATGTTACACCAAGAAAGTGCCATCAAATAGGGTAAGCCAGATATTCAATCCTACATTTCCCATATTATAATTAGTAGCATTGTTTGCTACATCTTTTGTTCGGGTTAGGTTTTTGAAAATCTGTCTGGATAACTTCCCCTGCCGTGTCCGTCAACACAGCAGTTTGGGGTGGGAAGTTAAAGGAAATGCACCGGCCGTCGCACGTTGTCAATTCTCTCTGATTCCTTCTAGTTATGGTTAGTGTCATATTGTTTTCTGACTTGCTCCGTTAGGTTAGGGTTTGTCCTGATTTGTGCTCTTGAGTAGAGATTGTAGTCTCTTTCTTTTGGGCTTCCGCCTTCGGAGTTTATCTGTTTTTTGTCTTTGTTTTCTTTGGTAGTTGATGAATCTATTTTCGTCACATTGTCCTGGCTGGTGTCCTATTGTTTTTCCAGAGTGGGTTTTGGGTTCAGATTTTTTTCAGTCCATTTTGGTTTGTGTTCTTGAATGAAGTCGTGGTCCCTTTTTGGGTATATGTTTTTGGATTTTGTCTTGTTGTCTTCAGTCGTTGATTAGGTCCCTTTTCCTGGTTGCGTTGTCTCGGTTCGTGTCGTGTTGTTTATCTGAGTAGGTTTTAGTTTCTTTTTTTTCCTTTGTTTGGGTTTGTGTTTGTGACTGAAGGCTGTGCTTGTGAAAGAGGTGAGGGGCAAGAGGGGAGGTAGAGGGGTAAAGAGAGAGGTTAGGTTTAGGTAAGAGGCGAGGGATGGGGTAAAAGGGGACAGAGGGAGGTTGTGGATTAAAATGGTTAGGGTTTGGTTCAACTTTCCATCACAGACTTAGAAATGCTTTTGTTTTAGTCAAGCATTACATCATCAGTGTTATTTTGTCAGACTTCAGAGTTGTTAGAGCTCCTCTATAGCTACACAAGACATTATATAACGTTGTCACATGCTGAGTAGCAGTGTGCATGAATATAGACTGATCTGCATAGTAGAATGAGTTGAATTTCCTTTTCAAGCCTCCGCTGACTTTATTTATCTGTCATGTATTAAACATACAGAAGGTCTCTAACTCTAACCCTGTTATGGAAAATGGAAATGGAAACATTCCATGTCAGCAACACTTGATAGAGCTGTTATGGATAAAGTTGCTATGATAAAATGATCTCCAGGAATGCCATTAACCATGTTTTCATAGAACTGTCAACTGCAAATTTGAAGGAATCCTTTAAA